TGCTGGACTCAGGTGATCCTTCCACCTCAGCCTTCCAAGTAGCTGGAACTACAGACATGCGCCACCATGCCCAGCTAATTTTTGGATTTATTGTAGAGATGAGGTCTCACTAAGTTGCCCAGGCTGGTCTCGAGCCCGTGGGCTTAGGCAGTGCTCTCACGTTGGCCTCCCAAAGTGTTGGAATTATAGGCATGAGTCACTGGGCCCGGCCTATTGGTATTTTCAAAGTACAACTAAGGTTCTGTTGATACAGCCTGCTGGGGTTTTTCTTTCTTTAGTTTGGGGAGAGATTTCGCTTTCTAAAATAGTACATTTTGAAATAAAATCTTTATTTTATCCATTTTCTTTGATTTATCATTATTTTATAGTTTTTAAAATTATTTGATATTTTTATTCTCTCTTATCAGCGAAGATTTAAAGCAGTGGTCCTCAGCCAGGGGCAATTTTGATCTACAGAAAACGTTTGGCAATGTCTGGAGACTAAATGTTGTTACAGTTGATGGATGTAGCTGTCATCTAGAGATCAGTATGCTGCCACCATCCTACAGCACACAGGAGAGCCCCTATCCTACCACACAGGAAGGAGTTAACCAGCCTGGTATATTGGCACTGAGGCTGGGAAACCATGCTTTAAGCTATATATTTTCCTCAGAGTGTAGCTATGACTAGGCATGTCCTGCAGGGTTTGAGATGTCATGTTCTCGTTACTGCTTTTTATAAGTAGTCTCTACACTTTGGGTTTTCCTTTCTGTCTGGCCTGTGCCTCATCATTCCAGGTGGTGAGGTTCCCCTTCTGGCCTTTTTTGTATCAGTCCCGTTCTCGTTCTGCTGCCTTGTGATCAGGTTTGGCAGACCGATGGTGCCTGCCTTTTGTCTTCGGAGTTTCAGATTTCCTTTGCTTCTTACCTAGAATGCAACCACTTCAGACTATTCCGTGCACACTTGATAGGAGTATGTGTTCCTGTTGAGCACTGGGCTCAGTTTTAAAGCAGGCTTGTCCAGCTTTCTGTTTAAGTCCCCTGTGTCCTTGTTTAACTGTCATCTCTGAGGCATCCCATTCTAGGAGCGTGTCAGCCTTTCTCTCTGTGACCGCAGCATCACCACGTTCTCCTTGCAGCCTTGACGGGGTTGGCTTCGTGCACCTTAAGACCACATCCATCTTGCTCCTCGTGGCTTGTGTTTATGGCGCCTCCTGGGCACGACATCTGTGTTCTCAGTGTAGGACATCCCTTGGTCTCCATGAATGCTGTGGCTTGCGTCCTCACTCACTCTCTCTGCGATGGCACCCAACCCCTCCTGTGACACAGCTCTGTGTCCCTTCTGTCTGAGTCCTGGGTTCAAGACACGTCTTCTCTCTCTCCAGCTATGGCTGGAATTTCCTCCTGGTCAGGCTGCTGGCATGGGTTTCATCTTGTACAAGGAGACTCAGCCTGGCACCTCAGTGGGCCTTATGGCTACTGGTCAACGCATGGCCCTGCCCTTACTGTGTGGCTTCTCCTTCCTGCTGAAATCCGTCCTGACTCTTGCAGCTTGAGCAACAAGATAGGTTTGGGTTTTGGTCTGTTAATTTGTGACTGCAATTGGACTTCCCTCCCCAGGTTTACAGGTTCTCTTTTCTGTGTTTTGGTTCTTTTTTATTTAGTGGTAGAGTCTCGCTCTGTCACCCAGGCTGGAGTGCAGTGGCATGATTATAACTCACCATAGTCTCGACCTCCTGGGCTCAAGAAGTCCTCCTGCCTCTGCCTCCCTCTACAGTCATGTGCCACCATGCCCGGCTAATTCTTTAATTTTTTGTAGCGAGGGGTCTCAAACACCTGACCTGAAGTGATCTCCCTGCCACAGCCTTCCAAGTAGCCAGGCTTACAGGCACACACCCCTCACGCTCTTTAATTTTTGATGAATTTTGAACCTTTATTTCTATCAGTAACAAAAATTAAATATAGCTCACAGTCCTCCTTACACACACGTGTAGGACATTCAACCTACTTAATCCTTCTCCTAGACTCCTGGGATTGTTTATAAGAGAACCGGCTTTTTTTTTTTCTTGGTCTAGTCTCACTCTGTCACCCAGACGCATTAGTAGCACTCTCACGGTCACCACAGCCTTGGCCTGCTGGACTCAGATTATCTTTCTGCTTCAGCCTTCCAAGTAACTGGAACCACAGGTGTGCACCACCACACCTGGCTAATTTTTTGATTTATTGTAGAGATGGACTGGTCTCAAACCCCTGGGCTCAGACAGTCTTCTCACCTCTGCTTCCCAAAGTACTAGGATGACAGGCATGAGCTGTTGCGCCCAGCTGGAAACCAGCATTTTCTTGCTGCCTGCCAATGATCTTGTTTCTGTGTTTTCCTTGTGTCGATGTTTGCAGCCTGCTTGGAACCTATGCTGTTAACTGTATTTATGGTTGGCCTGGTTTCCTGGCATGCCACACCTTTCCCAAAACACCAACTCTCCCTTTTTGGGACTTTATTCTTTTAGCCTCTAACTAGTGTGTAAAAGTGTAAGAAGACAAGTTTGTGGAAAGGGAGGCTCTTTCTGGTGGGGATGGCTGGATTCTGCAGGCATCTGAGCTCCCCCGCCCCCACCCTCCAGACTGTGACTGCAGCGCCGCGGGGACCCAGGGCAACGCATGCCGGAAGGACCCGCGACTGGGACGCTGCGTGTGCAAGCCCAATTTCCAGGGTACCCACTGTGAGCTCTGCGCCACAGGGTTCTACGGTCCAGGCTGCCAGCGTGAGTCCAGCCCCTGCCCTCCCTGCCCCACCTGTCCTGACCCCTCTGACCACGCGTGTTGGCCACCTCTCCCCACAGCCTGCCAGTGTTCCGGTCCTGGAGTGGCGGACAGCCGCTGCGACCCCAACACAGGCCAGTGCAGGTGCCGGGTGGGCTTCGAGGGGGCTGCGTGTGATCGCTGTGCCTCTGGCTACTTCCGCTTCCCTCTCTGCCAGCGTGAGTGACACCTCTCTGGGCGGCTTGGGCAGGAGTCTATGAGCCTGGCCTGCCATGATGCCCCACGCCCCCTCTGCTCCACAGTGTGTGGCTGCAGCCCTGTGGGGACCCTGTCTGAAGACTGTGATGAGACTGGCCGCTGCCCGTGCCGGCCTGGGTTTGCCGGCCCTCACTGTGACCGCTGCCACCCAGGCCACCACGGCTATCCTGACTGCCACGGTGAGCGGGAGGCCAGGGCGAGAAGGGGCCAGGCCACCTGCAAGGCACCAGGCCTGAGTCCACTGTTCCCACAGCCTGTACCTGCGACCCCCAGGGAGCCCTGGAGCAGCTCTGCGGGGTAGGTGGGGTGTGCCATTGTCGCCCTGGCTACGCAGGTGCCACTTGCCAGGAGTGCAGCCCTGGCTTCCACGGCTTCCCCGAGTGTGTCCGTAAGTGTCCGGGAAGAAGAAGAGGAGGAGGGTGGGCTCCATCCCCTCTGTGGGCTGTGGTAGGGAGAAGAAGGGTGGGTGCCAAGGAGGAAGGCAGGCTCCCAGGAGGCGGAGGAGGGCAGGCTCCATCCCCACTGTGGTCTGGGGGAGGGGAGGAGGAGGGCAGGCTCCTTCCCCGTGGACTAGGGGAGGAGAAGAGGCAGGCAAGTGCCGTCCCCCAAGTGCCTCACCTGCCCTTGGCCCGCAGCCTGCCACTGCTCCGCTGAGGGATCCCTGCATGTAGCCTGTGACCCCCGAAGTGGTCAGTGCACCTGCCGGCCACGTGTGACGGGGCTGCGGTGTGACACGTGCATGCCAGGAGCCTACAACTTCCCCTACTGCGAAGGTGAGAAGGCCGGGGCTGGTGTGTCAGACACATGCCAGTGCGTGTCCATGTGCTATGCACACGCTGTCTGTCTTCCTGTGATTCCCCTCCTGTGTATGTCTTGTGACTATGCCCATGTGCTCTGTGCGTGTTTGTTCATATACTGTGTAAGTCCATGTGCTATATGTGTGTGCTGTATGTTTGGTCATGTGCTTTGTGAGGTTTATGCATGTGTTCATGCGGTTCAATTTTTTTGAGTAGGAGTCTCACTGTGTCACCTAGGCTGGAGGGCAGTGGCATGCTTCCAGCCACTGCAGCCTCAATCTGCTGGGCTCATGCAACCTTTTCACCTCAGCTTTCCAAGTAGCTGGAACTATAGGCGCATACTACCATGCTCAGCTGATTTTTTATTTATTGTAGAGACAAAGTCTTACCGAGTTGCCCAGGCTAGTCTTGAACCCCTGAGCTCAGGCAATCCTCTCTCCTGAGCCTCTCAAAGTGCTGGGGTGACAGGCATGAGCCACCATACCCAGCCTTATTTTATTTATTTTTGAGTTAGGGTCTCACTGTGTTGCCACCATAGCCTCAGTCTGCTGGGCTCAGGCCATCTTCCCACCTCAGCTTCCCAAGTCGCTGGAACCACAGGCACATGCCACCACACATGGCTAATTTTTTTGATTTATTGTAGAGACGAGGTCTCGCCAAGTTGTCCAGGCTTGTCTCAAACCCCTGGGCTCAGGCAATCCTTTTGCCTTGGCCTTCCAAAGTGCTGGGATTACAGGCTTGAGCCACTGTGCCTGGCCCAGGTGGTTCTTTGATGTGCATGTTTACACGTAATGGGTTAGTGTATGCATTTACATGTGTGCATGTCTGTTCACGTGTGTGCATGTGCTGTACACGGAGTGTCCATAAGTGTCATGTGTGTGCATCTCATGACAGGTGCTATGTGGGGCAGCCTGAAGCAGGGAGGTGAATGTTCTCACATGATTTGTGCATGGGGGGTATGCATGCCGGCTCTCGGTCCATGGGGCCATGGGTCCTGGCCAGGCCTGGGAAGCCCTTGGACTGTAGAGTCCTCACTGAGGACTGGCTTAGGCTTGTTCTGTCTCCCCAGCTGGCTCCTGCCACCCTGCTGGACTGGCTCCAGCCAATCCGGTCCTTCCTGAGGTGAGCCTGAGTCTGCCGGTGGTGTGGGAGGTGGATGGGGCCCAGGCCAAGCTGAGCCCAAGCCTGGTGAGACCACAGCCCGTGGCCCACTGCTTGGTGACCATGGAAACCTTGGGGCCCATTTCCCCTCAGTTGGTTATTTGGTCCCACTGTGGGTGACTGCTGAACATGGGGTGGGACAGTCAAGAGGCCTCAGCCCCCTGGACCCTTTGCCAGAGCTCCAGGGCTAAGAGTGTGGGGAGGAGGGACGAAGGCTTACTCTGACCCACAGTCTCATTCTCTTTCAGAAACAGACCCCCTGTGTGTGTCGGGCTCACGTGGAGGGGCCAAGCTGTGATCGCTGCAAACCTGGGTTCTGGGGACTTAGCCCCAGCAACCCTGAGGGCTGCACCCGTAAGTCTTTCCTGGGGTCCCCTGGGGTGCCGGGAGGTCCCAGGGATTGGAGCCCAGACCCTCCTGCCCCCTCAAGGATCTCAGGCCTACTCTGCCCACCCCAGGCTGCAGTTGCGACCCCAGGGGCACGCTGGGTGGCGTTACTGAGTGCCAGCTGGTGAGTCTGAGGACCAAGGGGTAGGGACTGTGGGGCAGGTGGGTCGGGACCGACTCCAGTCCCGTCCCTGTCCTCAGCCCCATCCTTAGCCCCATCCCTAGCCCCATCCCTAACCGCATACCAGCCCTGTCCCAAACCATACCCCAGCCCCATCCCAGCCCCATTCCCAGCCTGTCCCAACCCTGTCCCAGTCCGGTACTAGCCCTGTCCCAGCCCTGTCCCTAACTGCGTCCCAGCCCCAGCCCCCACCCCATCCCCAGCCCATCTCACCTTTTCCCTTGGTCCCAGGGCAATGGCCAGTGCTTTTGCAAGCCCCATGTGTGTGGCCAGACCTGTGCAGCATGCAAGGATGGCTTCTTCGGGCTAGATCAGGCTGATTACTTTGGCTGCCGCAGTAAGTGCTCATGACTTAGCCCTCAAGCAACATGCCAGGGAGGCTGAGGCCCAGGCACATGAGGAGGCCCAGGTGCTAGAGTGGCTCTCTGTATGCTTCTCGATGTCTGACCAACCTTGCTGGCTGGCAGTGGAGGCTGCTTCTGGCCTGACTTGTGCCCTCCTCCATGCTGCCCCCGGACAGATATCACTAGTAGATCCCAGGGCCCCCGTCCAGATAGCCCAGGCAACCCCCAGGGATGGATAACAGTAGGCTTCTCGGCCAGCCAGGGTGGGGAGACCAGGGGCCTGTCAGGGCTGGAACAGGGCCCAAGCTGGGGGCAGTAGGAAGAGCCCCAAGGCTGGGCAGTCCCGAATAGCCTCTGACCTCTCTCCTCCTGGCTGCAGGCTGCCGGTGCGATGTTGGCGGTGCGCTGGGCCAGGGCTGTGAGCCAAGGACGGGCGCCTGCCGGTGCCGCCCCAATATCCAGGGCCCCACCTGCAGCGAGTGGGTACCTTGCCCTGGCTGGAGGGGGCCTTCGGGAGACAGCTGTCCTCTGGGCTTCTCCATGTCCCTCATCATGGGCCCACCAGGGTCAAACTGTCCCTGGGGATCTTGGTCAGCCCTGCAGCAATGCCTACCCTTCCCAGGCAGAATGGCTGGCCCTCCCCTGATGTCCCCTTCCATGCAGGCCGGCCAAGAACCACTACCTCCCTGACCTACACCATCTGCGGCTGGAGCTGGAGGAAGCATCCACACCAGAGGGCCACACTGTGCGCTTCGGCTTCAACCCCCTAGAGTTTGAGAACTTCAGCTGGAGGGGTTATGCGCAGATGGGCCCCATCCAGGTAGTTTCTGTGTCCCCCACCCCTACCAGGGCTCAGTCCAGAAGCAGGGCCAGCCGTGGCTCCTGGTGTGGCTGGCAGGGAGAGTGGACAGTCCCCATGAGGCCAGGGACCTGGGCGGGCAGCGACCAAGGAGGGTGACCTGACATCCCGTGACATCCCAGCCCAGGATTGTGGCCAGGCTGAACCTGACTGCCCCTGATGTCTTCTGGCTGATCTTCCGATACGTCAACCGTGGACCCACCACTGTGAGTGGGCACGTCTCCATGAGAGAGGAGGGCAAGTTTGCTGCCTGTGACAACTGTGAGTGGCCCCTTGGCTGCCCTACCCCGCCCTGCCCCGCCCCACCCAGCCCAGCCCCAGCAGTCTCCTCTGACCATCCTCTGCACCATGGGGGCAGGTGCAGCCTGGGCTGTCCCTGTCCCCCCATGTTCCTGCTGATCCACCCAGCCCCCACCCTACCCCACCCTATGCCTGTCCCCTCCCCTATTCTCCCCAACCTCCCATGTTCCTGCCAATTCACTCACCCCCACCCCATCCCTGCCCCCACCTTGTCCCCAGCCACCTCCCTTGACCCACACAGGCAGGGGACCCAGCTTGTCCCCTGCACTGCAGGGGAGGTACATCCTGGGGTGGCCCCTGGGCTATTAGACAGCCTCCTGCCACTGCCTGCCCCCAGGCACAGAGCAGAGCCAGCCCGTGGCCTTCCCGCCCAGCACAGAGCCCACCTTTGTGACCGTGCCCCAGAGGGGCTTCGGGGAGCCCTTTGTGTTGAACTCCGGCACCTGGGCCCTGCTCGTGGAGGCAGAAGGGGTGCTTCTGGTGAGACGGGGAACCGGGCGGGGGGTGGGCAGGCCCCGGTCAGACAGACCTGAGCAGCCACCCCTGCCCTCCACCAGGATTACGTGGTTCTGCTGCCCAGTGCGTACTATGAAGCGGCCCTCCTGCAGCTGCGGGTGACTGAGGCCTGCAGCTACCGGCTGACCACTCAGCGCTTTGGAGAGAAGTGAGGGCCTGCGTCCAACATGGGGCTGCCCCTGCTCTGCTGTGCCTGGGCACCCCCAGGCCTGCTCTGGGTACCAGTGCACCTGGAGCTGATCACAACCCATGTCACCCCCAGCTGCCTCCTCTATGCCCACCTCCCCCTGGACGGCTTCCCCTCGGCTGCTGGGCCAGATGCCCAGTGTCGTCACGATAACAGCCTACCGCGGCCCTGCCCCACGGAGCAGCTCAGTCCCTCACACCCGCAGCTGGCCGCCTGCCTGGGCAGTGATGTGCGTGTCACAGGGCCCCTCGGAGGGGTGTGCTCTGCATGACCCTAGCCTGGGGGTGGGATCCTGTAGCAACGGCAGGACATAGTGGACCCGAGCCCCCACTCTGGAGCTGTCCTGGGTGCTGTGACTGCAGAGCCAGGGCAGGCCCTAGAGGTGGGGGTGGGGGGTGGAGGTGGGGTTGGGAGTTGAGCAGAGGTTGGCAGGTGTGGGCTGCGGCCTTCATCGCCCTGCCCTCCCCCCAGGTGGATGTCCAGCTGCAGGTGGCAGTGCTGCGGCCTGGCCGCTATGCCCTGGTGGTGGAGTATGTCAATGAAGATGCCCGCCAGGAGGTGGGCGTAGCTGTGCACACCCGCCAGCGGGGCCCCCAGGAGGGGGCACTCACCCTCCACCCCTGCCCATACAGGTGAGTGTGAGTCCAGTGAGTGGGGCTGGCATGAGGGTTCTGGCTGTCTGCCCTGCCCGTTGACTGCCCCTCCCTCCTCAGCACCCTGTGCCGGGGCACCGCGAGGGACGCCCAGGATCACCTGGCCATCTTCTACCTGGACTCAGAGGCCAGCATCCGGCTTACAGCCGAGCAGGCACGCTTCTTCCTGGTAAGGGACCCTAGGCCTCCTGCCTGGAGTTTCAGCTTCTTTCAGAAGATTTGTGGGCTAGGCGTGGTTGCTTATACCTGTAGTCCCAGCACTTTGGGAGGCTGAGGGGGGAGGATCACTCGAGCCCAGGAGTTCAATACCAGCCTGGACAACATAGTGAGACCTCATCTCTACAAAAATAAAAAAATTAGTTGACGGTGGTGGTGTATTCCTGGAGTCCTAGCTCTTTGGGAGGCTGAGGTGAGAGGATGGCTTGAGCCCAGGAGTTGGAGGCTATAATGAGCCATGATGGCACCACTGCACTTCAACTTGAGTGATAGAGCAAGACCCTGTCTCTAGAAGAAGATTTGAAGCATGCATAAAAGTGGAGAGCAGGGTTGGGGTCCCAGAGCTGTCACTGCTGTCCACCACCCACATTCTTTCTTTTGGAACCAGCCCCCTACAGCTTTCCCTCTTGCCACAGTCACAGCCGCCAATGTCACACGCATGCCCAGTCCCAGAAACAGCAGAGCCCCACCCCAGATGCCCCCGCCCCACGGTAGCCACTTCCTGGCACAGATGGCATTGGTTAGTGGCCAGTTCTGGAAGTTTCTATGAATGGAACCACTCAGTGCATTCTGAGTCGCATCTCCTGCCAGCACAGTGTCACAGATGGATCTGTGCGTCACTTGCACACACTGGTTTCCTCCACTGTGGGGTTTGGTGTGTTTGTGCCCTGGGCCCCTGCATCACAGCGGCTGCTCTGGGAAGCCCGGCCACTGAGCTTGGTCCCATGGAGAGGTGCAGCTCAAGATGAGGATGGAGGATAGCCGAGAACAGGTGGGACAGCTGTGTAGAGGGCTGTGTAGAGGGCTGAAGGCATCTGGCTCGGTGTGCTGGGCTAGAGCCTGGGACCGGGCTGGTGCAGGGCTTCCAGGGACAGGCCTGGGCAAGACAGGCTTGGCTGGGGCCCTGGGTCTGAGCAGTGTGACCTGCCATCTTCGTCCTCCTGTCCCACGGCCTGGCGGCATCTCGCCCCTCTGCCACAGCACCGCGTCACCCTGGTGCCCGTGGAGGAGTTCAGTCCAGAGTTTGTGGAGCCACGAGTCCACTGCATCAGCAGCCATGGCACCTTTGGCCCCGGCAGGTATGGGCCCGGGAGGGGCCTGGAGGGGCTGAGCGGCCGTGGACCCGCCAGGACAGCTGAGACTCACGGCTGTTCTCCCACCAGTGCCGCCTGTGTGCCCTCACGCTTTCTGAAGCCACCCCAGCCCATCATCCTCAGGGACTGCCAGGTGCTGCCGTTGCCGCCCGGTTTCCCTCTGACACTCTCACAGGACCTCACACCAGACGCATCCCTGCCCAGGCCTCAACCTCGGCCCCCTACTGCTGTGGACCCCCACGCGGAGCCCACCCTGATACAGCACCCCCAGGTGAGGGCCAGGTTGGACAGCTCCCAAGAGATTGGGTGTGCAGGCCCCTGTCTGTTCCAGGGCAGGGGACCAGGGTCAGCAGGCAGGCTGGGGGTCTTGGCGGCCCTGTACTCTCCTCACTCACAGCCTCTGCCTGTAGGGCACTGTGGTCTTCACTGCCCACATGCCCACGCTGGGCCGCTACGCCTTCCTGCTGCACGGCTACCAGCCAGCCCACCCCACCTTCCCCATGGAGGTCCTCATCAACGGGGGTCGCGTCTGGCAGGGTGAGTGTCTGCGGTGGCAGTGGGCAGGGGGGTGGGCACCACATACGATGGCCTGAGCACATACGTCACAGTGTGGCCTGTGGAACCTGGCCACAAATGATGGGTCAACATAGCTCTGTGCCACTGTTGGTTCTCAAATGAGGTGCCCCAGGGCCTCTGTGGGTGGCACACCCCCACCTCCCCTCCCCTATTCCCAGAAAAGCCTGTTCCTGGATCTGCCTCGCATGACAGGAGTCCCTGTGTTGCTCCCGCCAAACAGCGAGATGAGAGCCTCTCGCAGGACTCCAGCTGGTGGCACACGTGGTCCTGAGTGTTTGTCTTGTTCTGGCTTGGCTGATCCCAGGACCCGCACCTTAGGGTGCCCTGTGTGACTGCGGCTGACCCCCGTGGCCTGTGGGGCCAGCCTTACCGGCGGGTCTGGCTTGTGGCCTGTGCTGGGCAGGTGCTCCTTGGGCCCCTGGCGCTACATCTGCGCCCCTCCCCTAGTGTCTCCAGTAGCACCCCAGGCCCAGGGTGACTGGGAGGTCAGGGCGGGGGCCTGAGCCTGCCTCTCCCCTCAGGCCACGCCAACGCCAGCTTCTGCCCACATGGCTACGGCTGCCGTACCCTGGTGGTATGTGAGGGTCGGGCCCTGCTGGACGTTACCGACGGCGAGCTCACTGTGACCGTGCGTGTGCCCGAGGGCCGCTGGTTCTGGCTGGTGAGTCCCAGGGCTGGTGACCTGCTCAGGGCCAGCTGTCCTTGCCCTTATTGCACTGCCCTGGTCACTGGGCCAGGTAGTGTCTCCTGCTGGGCCAGCTGCAGCCCAGACCTGTGCCCTGTCTCCGGAGGCCTCTTAAGTTTACCTCCTGAGGCTCAGAGAGGCTACTGAGCTTGTGGCACTGGCCCACCGGACCCTGGGTCCTGCTGGTCAGGGTGGCCTTCCTGGAGGAGGTGGGCCTAGATGATGGGAGGGGAAGGAAGAAGGCATGACCTGCAGGGGCACAGGCAGACACCAGGAGGCTTTTTTCATGCTGCTGCCTCCTCACGCTCCCCAGAGCTGCTCCCTGGCCCTGGAGGCGGCCTCCCCTGAGTGGCCCAGAGGCCATGCCAGGCAGAGCTGGCTGTACTGCTGTCACCAGTGTGAGCTGCCTGCTGGACTCTGGCCCCATCGGTCTCTGGGAGCCTCCCATTCCCTGTTCCTGCCTGCAGGCTCTGGGCACAGTCCCCCAAGCCCGGCCCTGCACTGGGCCCACAGGAAGGTGATGGGTCCCGTTCTCTTCTAGGATTACGTTCTGGTGGTCCCCGAGGACGCCTACAGCCCTGGTTATCTCCGGGAGGAGCCTCTGGACAAATCCTATGACTTCATCAGCCACTGTGCCACCCACGGCTACCACATCAGGTGGGCCAGGCTCAGGTGGGGCGGGAGCCTGGGGTGAGGGTCCTGGTAGGAACCCGCCTCACCACCTGCTCCCATCCGTCACGTAGCCCCAGCAGCTCATCCCTTTTCTGCCGGAACGCCGCCACCTCCCTCTCCCTCTCCTACAACAATGGGGCTCGTCCATGCGGCTGCCATGAGGTGGGCGCCACGGGCCCCACTTGTGAGCCCTTCGGGGGCCAGTGCCCCTGCCGTGCCCACGTCATTGGCCGGGATTGCTCACGCTGTGCTACTGGTTACTGGGGCTTCCCCAACTGCAGACGTGAGTACCCCAGTCCTTGGGCATGCCGGTGGTGGGAGGTGGTGCTAGATCTCAGGGGACTTCCTAGTGGAGGAGGCTGACCAGGACATGTGGGCACAGTGGCTGAGAGAACGTTCTGGAGCCCAGCAGGCCAGCTCTATCACCTCCTGTCTGCAGACCTCAGGCAGCTAGTGGCCCGGGCCCAGGACTCCACCTTGCGGGTTATCCAGAAGGTTCCCAGGACCAGCAGATAGTCTGCAGCCCCTGGCATCCAGATAACCATCTCGGGAACTATCCCCACATCAGGGGCCTCTGAGGGTTCTAGCAAGTGGTCCCTGGCCTCGCCCCCCACAGTCACATCCCCAGGGAGCAAAACAGGGATCTAAGTCAGGGAGCAAAACAGGGGTCAGCCAGCCCTGTCATGCCCCCACAGCCTGTGACTGTGGCGCCCGCCTCTGTGATGAGCTCACGGGTCGCTGCATCTGCCCACCACGCACCGTCCTGCCCGACTGCCTGATCTGCCAGCCTCAGACTTTTGGCTGCCACCCCCTGGTGGGCTGTGAGGAGTGCAACTGCTCTGGGCCCGGCGTCCAGGAGCTCACAGACCCCACCTGCGACAGGGACAGCGGCCAGTGCAAGTAAGCCTGGCAGGGCCCTGTGGACTCCACAGCCTTGGGGGTGGGCAGCACCTCCACTTGTCTGTGGGTCCCTGCCCCTGGGGGACTCCCAGCAATTCCCTTTCCTTGGGTTCTGAGGGGATTCTGGGGTGGGGCACCCATGGCCTCTGGCATCACTGGGGGGAGGGAGGCTCAGCCTGATCCCCCACAGGTGCAGACCCCACGTCGCTGGGCGCCGCTGTGACACCTGTGCTCCCGGCTTCCACGGCTACCCCAGCTGCCAGCCCTGTGACTGCCACGAGGCAGGCACTGCACCTGGCATGTGCGACCTCCTCACGGGCCAGTGCTACTGCAAGGTGAGCCCCGCCCCCATCCCGCCCTCCTGCTGCAGCTGACATGGCGTCCTCCAGGGCCATCTTGGGTGGCTGAGGCTCTCTGCAAGTTTGGGAGAGTCCTCCCAGTGGGCAGTGGGGAGCAGTCATGTGGGGTTGGCACCCGACTGACTCCCATCGCCTCCCTCCTGCTCCCAGGAGAACGTGCAGGGCCCCAGATGCGACCAGTGCCGCCTTGGAACCTTCTTCCTGGATGCCACCAACCCCAAAGGCTGCACCCGCTGCTTCTGCTTCGGGGCCACGGAGCGCTGTGGGAGCTCAGCCTATACCCGCCAGGAGGTGCACCAGCAGGGGCTGGGCCGGGGGGCATTCATGGGGCTGGAATGCAGGATGGCACCCTGGGATGTACGCGGACACCCACATGACCCGTGCAGACACACCCACATGTGCCCACAGTTCGTAGACATGGATGGCTGGATCCTGCTGAGCAGTGACCGGCAGGTGGTGCCCCACGCACGGCGGGCAGGGACGGAGCTTCTCCACGCAGACTTGCGGCATGCACCTGACACCTTTCCTGAGCTATACTGGCAGGCTCCACCCTCCTACCTGGGCGACAGGGTGAGCGAGGGCATCAGGCCTGGGGGAGCAAGCTTCGAGGATGCAGGGATATGGAAGGTCCCATCTGGGGAGGGGAATGAGCTTGGGCGCCCCAGCCCATCGGGGCCCTACTCTGGGGGCTGAGCCAGCTGCTGTTGGGCTCTAGCTTGTTCTACCTTCAGGTGTCATCCTACGGAGGGACCCTCCGCTACGAACTACACTCAGAAACCCAGCGGGGGGATGTCTTCATCCCCACAGAGAGCAGGCCGGATGTGGTGCTGCAGGTAGGCAAACGGGCATGGTGCTGCAAGGCGGGCGGGTGTGGCCCTGGGGAACCATGGCCCAGCCCAGTGCCCACCCTTGCCTGACCCACGCGCCTCCCCAGGGGAACCAGATGAGCATCACATTCCTGGAGTCAGCATACCCTGTGCCTGGACACGTTCACCGCGCACAGCTGCAGCTGGTGGAGGTGAGTGCAGTTGGCCAGGCACCCAGGTCCCTCCCAGGCCCCAGCATAGCCCAGGGAAGACCTGGAGCTGCAGTGCCCGTTCTCTGTGGCAGAGTCTAGGAATGGGGCAGTGGGGGCCCGGTGGACCTGTGGGTACTTGCACCCCTTGTCGAGCATCTCCTGCTTAGGTCACCCCGTGGGGTCTCATTCTCATCACTTGCTCTGTGAGTCCCTTTTCACTGTCAGGTGAGTGCCCACAGTGGCCACCTGGCATCCTCTTGGAGCTGCCTAGAGGAGACCTGTTGGTCCTGACACCCACCCTTGTCAGATCTGGGGATGGCTGCTGTCTTCCCCATCCCGCCCTCTAGGATGTCTTTTGAGGATACATTTAATGGATCCAAACTTACCCACTTTCTTTTGCAGCAAGTGTTTTTGTCTTGTTTAAGAAAGTATCTCTACTTGGTCAGAAAGTCCTTGCCTCTGCTTCTTCCAAAAGCTCAAACTGTTGTCCTGTGTATTTACTTATTACTGATCTTAGCTGATTCTGTGTGTGTTGTGAGGTTGGGGTCTAGGTACCTACTGTCCACACAGGCAACTGGTGTTTCTGGCTCTGTGTCTTCCTCCTCTGTCGCATGGCCTGTGTGCCCTTCTGTTCCCCATACGGGGTCTATCCTAGGCTCCCCATCCTGCCCCAGCGACCGAGGCCTTGCTGAGATTACATCTTGGACCCACAGGGAAACTTCCGGCACACGGAGACGCATAGTGCAGTGTCCCGCGAGGAGCTCATGATGGTGCTGGCTGGTCTAGAGCAACTGCAGATCCGTGCCCTCTTCTCGCAGACCTCCTCAGCTGTCTCCCTGCGCAGGGTGGTGCTGGAGGTAGCCAGCAGGGCGGGCAGGGGACCCCCAGCCAGCAACGTGGAACTGTGCATGTGCCCCGCCAACTACCGTGGGGACTCATGCCAGGTGAGGAGTGGGTGCCGGGCCGCCAGGCAACCGAGCCTCATACCCCAGCCCTGGGCAGCCTCCCATGTCTGCTCCTGCTTTCTGTCCCCACCTGCTGCCCCCACTCACCTTTCTTCCCACCCCTGTCCTGCCCCAGCTGCCAGCCAGTCACTCCCCTACTCACAGGCTGCCAACCCATCACCCCGTCCATGCCCACGCTGCTCCTCACCCATCCACCACCCCGCCCAGACCCCCTGACCCATTCATCGGGCCGTTGCCTGTCTGTACGCCTCCCTGACCATCCTCCATCGTTCCCTCACTCGCATGCCCACTGCCTGTGAACCTGGGTGAGTGTACTACCTCTGTCCTGCCACAAGAGAGGCCCGAGGTTGCCCTCCCCTGGACAGTGGCATTTGGAGTAGGAAGGTCTAGGTCATGCAGGGGTTGGTCCTAAGGCCCAGTCACCCCTGAGCCAGGGCATCCAAGTGGCTTTGAGAGCTGTGTCCTCATGCCTAGGGAAAGCAGCCAAGGGCTGGTGCACCTCCAGCTGCTTGGGGCCAGGAATTCCTGCCTCTGACCCTGCGGTGACCGAGCTCTGTGGGCAGTTGTTCCCAGCACCCCAGTCCTGGGATGCCTGGTACCTGTGGGACCCCCACGGGACTCATCTGGTTGGCCCCAGCTTTGAGCTGGCCCTCCTCCCTTCTCTAGCACTGATAGACCCCACACTCCCCCAGGAATGTGCCCCTGGCTATTATCGGGACGTTAAAGGTCTCTTCCTTGGCCGGTGTGTCCCCTGTCAGTGTCACAGCCACTCAGACCGCTGCCTCCCAGGCTCTGGCATCTGCGTGGTGAGTGGGGCCCAGCAGGGGAGGGGCATTCATCAAGAGCATGTGAGGCATGCCAGGGGTGACCCAGGGCCTTTGGGGCTGTAATTGCGGGTAAACTGAGGTTGGGGGAAGGGAGTCATCCACCTTGGGTATGGCAGGGCACCACTTGGGTGGAAGGGTGGGAGCTGGTGGGATGTGGACCTCGAGGGTGGATGCCGACTGCCCGCTGTGCCCCAGAGCTGCCAGCACAACACTGAGGGTGACCGCTGTGAGCGCTGCCGTGCCGGTTTTGTGAGCAGCAGGCCTGGGGACCCCACAGCTCCCTGTGTCAGCTGCCCCTGTCCCTTGGCAGTACCCTCCAACAAGTAAGTGCAACCCCTTCTGGAAACCTATCTAACCCCCAGTAGCTGAGTGGGTGCTCATTGCCCCTTCAGAGGACTGGACAACTGGGGTGGATCCAAGAGGCAGGGACCTGGACATCCAGCTCAGCCTGAACACGGGCGCTGGCCTAGTACTGGGTGGCGCCAGGGGCATAGTGACCAACCACTGCTGGTCCTTACAGCTTCGCCGACGGTTGCATCCTGCGCGGTGGCCATGCCCAGTGTCTCTGCAAACCTGGTTACGCAGGGGCCTCCTGCGAGCGGTGAGTGGGCCAGGTGGTGGAGGGTGGATCCAAGGGCTGGACCTGAGGACTGGACCTGGATGATCTTCAGGGACGGGGCCACAGGCTGCTGATGACCCGTCCCCGCCCCACCCCCAGGTGCGCACCTGGCTTCTTTGGGAACCCATTGGTGCTGGGCAGCTCCTGCCAGCCATGCGACTGCAGCGGCAATGGCGACCCCAACTTGATCTTCAGCGACTGCGACCCCCTGACAGGCGCCTGTCGGGGCTGCCTGCACCACACCACTGGGCCACGCTGCGAGAGCTGTGCCCCCGGCTTCTATGGCAATGCCCTGCAGCCCGGCAACTGCACCCGTAGGCGCCTGACCGGGAGGGTGCACCTGGGAGGTTGCACAGGGTGGAGGACCCACTGGGTGCACCCTGGGTGCGCCACTGTGGTGTGCCCAGTGCCGGGGCCCAGCCAGAACAGGGTGGACCTGGTCCCCTGGGTTTGCAGTCAAACCCCTCCTCATTCTCATAGTCAGCCCCTCCTTCCCCTCATGTCAGGCCCTCTGTCGTGGGCAGACTTCCTCGTCCTCCACCCCACCCCTGGGGCTCAATGTCAACCCAGGTCACATCAGGGCAGGCCATGGTAGGGAGTCCCCAGGGCCCTCTGGTGGAGTGGGGGCATCTGGGAGGAGGGCCAGGAATGGGAGGGGCAGCTGTGTGGACCAAGCTGGGAGGTGGTAGAAAGTGATGGGCTGGGGCAGTGTGACGGCTTCCTGTGGGGGTGGGACAGGCCAGGGCTGTGACAACCTCCCTCCTGTAGGTTGCGACTGCACCCCATGTGGGACAGAGGCCTGCGACCCCCACAGTGGGCACTGCTTGTGCAAGGCGGGTGTGACTGGACAGCGCTGTGACCGCTGTCAGGTAGGACTGTACAGTGGATCCTGGGCAGGGCCTCAGGGCTAAAGAGGTGGGACCTGTGGGACTGGAAGGTGGGGCCTGAGCTAGAGGGGTAGGACTTCAGGTTGGGGGTGGAGCCCTGGGGGGTGGGGTCTGGGCTAGAGAGGTAGAGCCTTGGGTTGGGTGTGGGACCTGTGGAGAGTTGTGGCCAGATGGGTGGGCCCTGTGATCTGGGTAGGGCCCGATGGGTGTGGCTTCAGGAAGCAGTTGCTGGGAGTCTTGAGGGCTGAGGGCAGGGTTGGGCTAGGCTGGATCTTCTGAGCTGGAAGAAATGGGGTCTGGAGGGCGGGGTGGGGTGGGGTCCTGATGACAGCCTGTGCCTACAGGAAGGACATTTCGGCTTCGGCAGCTGTGGGGGCTGCCGCCCATGCACCTGTGGACCAGCTGCTGAGGGTTCCGAGTGTCACCCCCAGAGCGGGCAGTGCCACTGTCAGCCAGGGGCTGGGGGACCCCAGTGCCGCGAGTGTGCCCCTGGCTACTGGGGGCTCCCTGAGCAGGGATGCAGGCGTGAGTACAGGCAGGGCCCAGGAGGGCAGGTAGGATACTGCCAGGTGGGGGCTCCCTAAGGCCCAGGTCGGCCATATTCACCTCGTTCTCCCCTACAGGCTGCCAGTGCCCGGGAGGTCGCTGTGACCCTCACACAGGCCGTTGTACCTGCCCCCCGGGGCTCAGCGGGGAGCGCTGTGACACTTGCAGCCAGCAGCACCAGGTGCCGGTGCCCGGCGGGCCTGGGGGCCGTGGCGTCCACTGTGAAGGTGCGCCCACCATGCCCCACCCTCGCCACACCTGGGTGCAGTGGGGGTTCCCGCCCTGCCCTGTCTGGTGACCCCTGCATTAACCTCAGCCTTCCAGAGCGGTCCTAGCTGTCCCTGTCTCCCGTGCCTGTCTCGATGCTAACCCTGTGACTGCTGACCACACACACACCCCCAAGTCAGCACTGGGTTCCAACACTGACCCCAGCTCTCCTGCTGACCCCCACTACCACCAGCCCCCACTGCTGGATCTTGCCCAGCCCACAACGTCACCCCATGCTTGTGCTGGCTTTCTGGTACCCTGCTGACCTCCTAACCACTGGTGACCTTTCAGTTAATCCTGGGATCTCCATTCTGGCTTTTGACCCTACTGACCTTGTCACTTCATCTCAGCTTAGTCTCCTGTGCCGAGCCCGTATTGACCCCATGACCCTACATACCATTAGAGCCCAGGACTCATTCCTGTGGCATTCCCCATGACCCGGTGCTGGCTCCTCCCCTTACGCTGACCCCACTGTCCCCTCTGCTTCTTTATCTGCTAACCCTGTGCCCTTCACCCTAGTCTGTGACCTCGTCCTGACCCCATGACCCTGCCATGACCCATGACACTGACTCCCCCACCACCCTCAGTGTGTGACCACTGTGTTGTCCTGCTCCTGGACGACCTGGAGCGCGCCGGTGCCCTCCTCCCAGCCATCCGCGAGCAGCTACGTGGGGTCAATGCCAGCTCCGTGGCCTGGGCCCGGCTGCACAGGCTGAATGCCTCCATTGCAGACCTGCAGGTACTTAGTGCCCTGGCTGCCCCTCCCTCACCCTCGGAGCAGGCCTTTACCTTCACCCTCCGCTTCCCCCAGAGCCAGCTCCGGAGCCCCCCGGGCCCCTACCCTGAGACGGCACAGCAGCTGGAGGTACTGGAGCGGCGGAGCACAAGCCTCAGACAGGACACACAGCGGCTGGACAGCCAGGCAGGTCCCAGGATCCTCCCCCAGCAGCCCCTCTCCCCTGGGACCCTCAAGCCCTCTCCAGCTCCTTGGCGTTTCCTGTCTCCCCAACCCTAGACTAGCTGCCAGAGCTCCTGCCCAGACCCCCTATCATTCCTCTGCCAGCAGGGGTGTGGGCTGATGGGCACTGCCTCCACAGGCCACAGGCACCCGAGACCGGGCAGGGCGGCTGCTAGAGGGCACCGAAGCCACATTGGGCCGGGCGCAGGCATTGCTGGTGGCCATCCGGGCTGTGGACCTTGCCCTGAGCGGTAAGGGCAGGCCCACCCCAGCTTGCTCAGGGCGGGGAGGGCTGCTCCGGGGATGGGAGCTCCCAGGGTGGTCATCGGCTGAGCTTGGCCTTGAAGAACAGGCAGGATAGGCCGGGCTTGGTGTCTCACCCTGTGATCCCAGCTGAGCCTCCTTTGGGAGACCGAGGCAAGTGGATTGCCTGAGCCTGCGGGTTTGAGACCAACCCAGGCATCTTGGTGAGACCTCGTCTCTACAATAAATCAGAAATTAGTCAAGCGTGGTAGCGTGCACCTGTATTTCTGGCTACTTGGAAGGCTGAGACTGGGCTGGCTGTGAGTGTGCCACTGCACTCCAGTATCCTGGGCAACAGAGTGAAACTCCAACTCAAAAAACAAAAGAGAACAGGCAGAATCCTTGTGTTGAGTCGGGCAGTGGCGCCTCTGGAGTCAGCAGTAGGGTGGGGCTGGAGGTGGGCAAGGCCCTGGCGTGGCGGGGCCAGGGAATCCAGGAGACCCCTGGTCAGTCCCCCAGAGAAACAAGCTGATTGATACTTGTGCGCCCCAGCTGACATGTGGGCCTAAGGAAAGATCAGGCTCCCTGACCCCCTGTGGCTGGGGACCTGGCTCAGCCTGAGGGGCCGTGCAGGGAAATTCAGACAGCCGGCCTAGGAGCCAGAGTCAGCCAGGCTAGTGGAGCAGGAAGATCCAAGGAGGCCTTGCTGGGCTGAGCACCCAGGCGTCAGGGTGCAGGGGACCACAGTAGACGAGGAGGCTGGGTGCTCAGAGCCATCCAGGGTGGGCACAGGCTCCATGCTGCTGGCCTGCCCGGGTAGGAGGGTCTCAGGCTGGGAAGCCATGGGACAGAGGTGTGTGGGCAGCTGCCAGCCCAGGCCCTGATGGCCCCACGCCCGCAGAGCTGGCATCCCAGACAGGTCACCTGTGGCCTGCCAATGTCACGGCCCCATCAGGAGAGCAGCTGCGTCGAATGCTGGCCGAGGTGGAGCGGTGGCTCGGGGACATGCGGGCCCGTGACCTGGGGCCCCCCCGGGCAGCAGCTCAGGATGAGCTGGCAGAGGCCCAGAGACGTGAGTGGTGTCAGGTGGGAGGACGAGGATGCAGCCGAGAGGCCGGGTGGAGGTCAGCATGGAGGGAGAAGGGTGGGCTCACTGGGGAAGGACTGGGGATCTCAGGGGCCTGGCTGCCCGGGGGGACTGCCGTCACACTCTGGTCTGGGTCAGTGCTGGCCCGTGTGCAGCAGCAGCTGACCAGTCGCTGGGAGGAAAACCAGGCACTGGCCACACGCACCCGCGACCAGCTGGCCCAGCACGAGGCCAGCCTCATGGACCTGAGGGAGGCCCTAAACCGAGCAGTGAATGCTACGCGGGAGGCTGAGGAGCTCACCAGCCACAACCAGGAGCGCCTGGAAGAGGCCCTGGTGAGAGACTGGGCTTGTTCTCCCTTCCCTGCCTTCCTGTCCCCTTCT